CAGCATTTGTAGGAGGCTTGCTGGGAGGCAAAGGGTGCAAAGAGCCGAGCGGTGCAGCCAATCGGCTGAGAGTCGGCAATGGAACTTTCTGCAACTTCTGGCAAAGCTGTGCGCACACATCTTCCAGTTTCTGTGGTAGTCGGAGAAGCACTGCAGCTTGTTCTTCCAGCGTATCTTCACTATTGGATTGGCTGAGCTCGCCCACCAACGCCGACAACGTTGCTTCTAGGTCCCGGGAGAGCACCTGCGTGACCCAACGGCACAAGACTTTGAGACAGGACACATGGCACAACAGAGCACATGCATCGAAAGCGAAAGAAACACCCAAAAAGTATGACAAAGACCATGCCGAAGCCTTTATCGGATGTCCGCTGGCAGGGGCACCATGTGGAAGTGACATGGTGCGCCTTCGGACACTAACAGCAGCCAATGTTCGACGAATTCAATTGACTGTTTTCATATGTTGGCTTAGTGACGGTCATGTTTAAAACAACACACAACTGCAAGAGAACAATGTGCGACTGCCTGCATCAAAGATGAAAGTGTTGAACTGGCAACTCGACACGGCCGTCTGCGAATGAATATGTTTGAGCCTGCAGATGTGCATGGTCCAGAGGTGCCGTGAAAAGACATCAACGCATGTCACTTACAGCTGCGACCGCAAAGCAAAGATATCCACGCTTTGAGACTGTGTGCCTGATCAAAATCTCTACATGGCATGCATCATTTCTTCCCACGGTGGGGCAAAATCGAAACCTGACACGAGCTTTCATGAATTGGCTGCCACCACTCACTTCTTCCCACATTGGGTCAACAATGAGCCCAGCAACTGACAAAAGATCAACTGGCTGCCACCATTCAAGTTTTCCCACATTGACTCAACAATGAGTGCAGCTAGTGACCAAAGACATCAATCTAGCTACGCAGCGTAGATGATCCACCTCTACGAGGTCCTGGGAGTAACGCGCATTCATGACTACTTTCTGGCTATGTTCTTTGTGCGGCAAACGGATCAAATTCATTTGCAATCCCCATTTTTGAGCTCGCTCTCGGTCTATGACGAGGGGACAGAGAGAGGAGCGACCTTACTTCGGTTTGGTCACTTACATCCTTGTCGCAGGTGTAAAGAACTTATACCGGTGCCATGCCTCAACTGGGGGGCGGACTATTTACCAGTTGCTTTTGGATGATGATCTTGACCTGTTAGATCTTCGCTTTCTGTTTATAGTACAGGCGAGCACTTCCGTTTCCTACATGATGACCCCGTGGTAGATTACTTGCGGACTGGCAACAGTCTCAGGCCTGCCACCTTTAAGAGGTTCCATACTGGAGAGTCGTCGTGCCCTTGTCCGGTTTTTCTTAGTTATTTAGGCCTGCCAGGTGATCGTCGACCGCTACGGCAACCGACGATACTACCACACCTACACAGCTACGCAGCGCGGTGCAGGACTACACTACACACTCAGGGCCACGTTCAGTCAAAATCGAAAGTTGTCGATTCACGGTAAGTTTGGATGACCGATGCCTAGCTTTGCTGCAATGCCGGCAACGTCGATGAACGATTTTTCAGTTTCGCCCAAATGAATAGACAACCATTCGTGCGACTGGACAAAGTTTCCGTCAAACATGCCAAAGAGTCAGACATGCCACGCAAAACGGTGGTCGATGTCACCAAGTCCCAGGCCTGCCACGCAAAGTGAAGGTGGATGTCGCCAAGTACCACGCCTGCCACGGGAAACGCAGGTCGATGTGACCAAGTGCAACGCCTGCCACGCAAATGCTACGTCCATGTCGCCAAGTGCCACACCTGCCACGCAAATGGAATGTCCATGTCGCCAAGCGCCACGCTTGCCACGCAAAGTGGGCCTCACAGGCGACCAAGGGGCCCCAAGCGCACACCACGCCTGCCACGCCGAATGCAAGTAGATGTCGCCAGGTGCCAGCCTGCCACGCCAAACGAAGATGGATGTGAGCAAGCGCCACGCCTGCCACGCAAAGTGCCGCGGCGACCCGGCCCAGTGCCACAAGTGCTACGCCTGCCACGCCAAACGCAGGTAGATGTCTCCAAGTGCCACAAGTTCCACGCCTGCCACGCAAAACGAAGATTGATGTGAGCAAGTGCCACGCCTGCCACGGAAAGTGCCGCAGCGCCCCAGGCGACTAACGGCGACCAAGCGCGCCACCAGACCCAGCCAAGTGCAACAAGTGCCACGCCTGCCACGCCAAACGCAGGTAGATGCCGCCAAGCGCCACGCCTGCCACGCAAATGGAACGTCAATTTGACCAAGTGCCACGCCTGCCTCGCAAAGTGCCGCGGCGCGCCGGGCGACTAACGGCGACCAAGCGCTCCACCAGAGCCAGCCCAGTGCCACAAGTACTGTGTGACAAAGTTGTGTGAAAGTGTGTGTGAAAGTGTGTGTGAAAGTGTGTGTGAAAGTGTGTGTGAAAGTGTGTGTGTGTGTGCGTGTGTGTGCGTGTGTGTGTGTGAAAGTGTGTGTGTGTGTGAAAGTGTGTGTGTGTGAAAGTGTGTGTGTGTGTGTAAGTGTGTGTGAAAGTGTGTGTGAAAGTGTGTGAAAGTGTGTGAAAGTGTGTGAAAGTGTGTGAAAGTGTGTGAAAGTGTGTGTGAAAGTGTGTGTGAAAGTGTGTGTGAAAGTGTGTGTGAAAGTGTGTGTGAAAGTGTGTGTGAAAGTGTGTGTGAAAGTGTGTGTGAAAGTGTGTGTGAAAGTGTGTGTGAAAGTGTGTGTGAAAGTGTGTGTGTGAAAGTGTGTGTGAAAGTGTGTGTGAAAGTGTGTGTGAAAGTGTGTGTGAAAGTGTGTGTGAAAGTGAAAGTGTGTGTGAAAAGTGTGTGTGTGTGTGAAAGTGTGTGTGAAAGTGTGAAAGATGTGTTGTGAAAGTGTGTGAAAGTGTGTGTGAAAGTGTGTGTGAAAGTGTGTGTGAAAGTGTTTGTGTGTGTGTGAAAGTGTGAAAGTGTGAAAGTGTGAAAGTGTGAAAGTGTGTGTGTGTGTGAAAGTGTGTGTGTGTGTGAAAGTGTGTGTGTGTGTGTGTGAAAGTGTGTGTGTGAAAGTGTGTGTGAAAGTGTGTGTGAAAGTGTGTGTGAAAGTGTGTGTGTGTGTGAAAGTGTGTGTGTGAAAGTGTGTGTGTGAAAGTGTGTGTGTGTGAAAGTGTGTGTGTGTGTGAAAGTGTGTGTGAAAGTGTGTGTGAAAGTCTGTGTGAAAGTCTGTGTGAAAGTCTGTGTGTGTGAAAGTCTGTGTGTGTGAAAGTCTGTGTGTGTGAAAGTCTGTGTGTGTGAAAGTCTGTGTGTGTGAAAGTCTGTGTGTGTGTGAAAGTGTGTGTGTGTATGAAAGTCCCACAGTCCCACAGTGCGTGTGTGTGTGTGTGAAAGTGTGAAAGTGTGTGTGTGCGTGTGTGAAAGTGTGAAGGCGTGAAAGTGTGTGTGTGTGTGTGTGAAAGAGGGTGTGTGAAAGATGGTGTGTGAAAGATGGTGTGTGACAAAGTTGTGTGTGAAAGGTGGTGTGTGACCAAGTTGTGTGTGAAAGATGGTGTGCGACAAAGTTGTGTGTGTAAGATGGTGTGAAACAAAGTTGTGAGGCGGCGGTGCGGGAGGCGGAGGCGGAGGCGGTGCGGGATACAGAACCAACACAAGAACCCCACACAAAGATGTGGGGAATAAAAATTGCAATGTATATAATCAATTTAAGTAATACAAAACATATCTATAATATTAATAGTAGATATATATATATAACAGTATATAAATATAAGTAATATATTTTCTATATACAATGTATACAATGCATTAAAAAAATAAAATAAATACAATATAGCGTTTACAAAAATTATATATATATACATTATGTTATCTAATATGAAAAATGCAATTATATTTCATTATAGATCAAAAATGATGCAATTGTTGAAAAACATATATATTTAAACAGTAAAAAAAGAGTTTATATATGTACAAATCTCGTATAATATCATATATATATATATATGTGTGTGTGTGTGATTTATCGACCTCTATATATATATAACACAATTTGTTAACACATATATTTATAATCTAATTAAAAACATATATACAATTAATTTATATACATATGTATGTTTATACGAATGTATATGTGTGTAAACACGTGTATACGTATATGTGACATGTGTATATGTGTATATGTATATGCATCTGTACATGTGTGTGTAACATCTAAATAGATGTAAAACTTCTCCTTTTTTCTTTTTCTTTCTTCTCTCCTTTTAATAAAGCAGGGGGTGGATGCATGGTCTGGCAGTCATCCACCAACGAAGACACTGCCTTGCCATGGTGATATGACGAAGGGACGCCTTTGTCACGTACCTGCTTCATTTTCGGACATGGGATGTGGCCAACCCAAGAACCACCACGCCGTTTCCAAACAATCTATTTTACATGGTTTTACACGGTCGCCGCAATCTGATTTTTGGATGACGATTTATTTGCCGTTTTTGGAGTCTGGTTTGGGCTACGTTGGATATTTTCGGAAGACCTTCATTATATTCATGAAGTACAACCACGAGATCTACTGTAGGTCTAATTGTCTAGGCTGGTTGCACGTTAAAGGACCCAGTTCCTGATGGATCTCTTCAAAGATCCAATTTTGTCTAGTGTGTGGTTGCGTGCGCGCACGTGTGTCCATGTGTTATGCGTGTTTGCTTTCCATACTTTGGTGGATGGGGGCGTGCTTGTTCTGGAGTGCTTCCACCCGACCAAGATTATCCCTGATTTCTTCTCGACATACCCTCACTGCCATGCCGCCTCGTGTTTTTGAGGGCAAGATGTTTGTATGTACCGGCTTTCGGTACACCAAATTTGTTTTAGTTTAATTATATCTATGCTGCTAGCTTCTTTGCAAAGGCTCTTGGGGTCCTCAGCAAACACCACTGCATTGGATCCCTGATACCCTGTTTCACGAAGTGTTCTCTTCTTGTTTCTGACAGTTGCCTTCCGAATTCTTCCAAGGTACAGCTCGGTGTACGCATTGCAAATTTCCTTCGTATTGACAAAAAGCTCAAATCGCTCTGTCAGGCCAGGCTTGCTCCGATGCCATTTCGCCAATGGGCTCATGACTTGTGGATGTTCAGTGATGAAGCTTGGACTCACCTCGAGCAAAGCATGGCATAGCAGAAGGTTCGAGTCGGAAGCACATTTTGCAGACATGTAGTCACAATGCCATCTTGCCAATTCAGATTCGATTTTTTCATCAATTTAGAAAAGAGAAAATCGAAGCTGTTAGAATCGATCTGAAACACCTCTGACTCCACGATTGATATTCAACATGCATCCAAACCTTCGGCATTTTTGTTTTGAAAAGTGACAATGTGATCCTCGATGTAGTGGCCGCAAAGCTTGTCAAGCAAACGCGCTGCAGAACGCGGCGGCGGACACTCCAGCTCCAACTTGGTGACCTCAGCAGCTCCGAAGAACAGCCCTGCAACCCAGCACAAGTGAAGATTCCAAACTCAAGGCCGCACGTTGGCTCCCAGCATTCAGCATGGAACGAATGACAAATAAAGTACATAGGCGAAACGGTGGGAGGCAAAATGGGAGACAAAGTTGAAATAATTTGAGGGGCACAGCGGGAAACAAGTGAGGGACAAAGTAGGAGACAAAGTGGGAGATACAGCGGGAGACGCTGAGACGAAGCAGGAGACAAAGTGGGGGAGAAAGTGGGAGACAAAGTGGGAATCAAAGTGGGCGACAAAGTGGCCGACAAAGTGGGCGACAAAGTGGATAATATAGTGGGAGACGAGGTGGGGGACAAAGTGGGGCACAAGCAGGAAGACAAAGTGGGACGCAGGTTGGGGGACAAAGCAGGACACAAGCTGGGAGACAAAGTCGCAAACGCTGTGTGAGACACAGTGGGGGACAAGGAAAATGGGAGCCACAGTGGAAGACATAAGGCGAAACACCATGCGAGTTCGCAAGTGGGAGACATATAGTGCGACATGGGAAGGCACAAAGTGGGAGACAAGCTGGGAAACAAAGTGGGAGACAAGGCGGGAGATAGAGCGGGAGACAAAGCTGGGAGACAAGGTGGGAGACAAAATTGGAGAGACAGTGGGAGACGAAGTGAGAGACGAAGCGGACAAAGCGGGAGAAAAAGAAAGTAAGAACAAAGAGGGAAACAGTATGACACAGTGGGAGACAAAAATCGAGGCAAAACGAGAGACAAGGCCAGTGACAAGCTGCGAGACAAAGTGGGGGGCAAGTTTGGAGACATAGCATGACACAAAATGTGCGACAAAGCGGGCCCAGGAGACACAATGAGAGACAAAGCGGGAGACAAAGGGATAGACAGAGAGGGAGACAAAATGGGAGACAAAGGGATAGACAGAGAGGGAAACAAACTGGGAGACAAAATGGGAGACATAGTTAGTCAGAGGCAAAGTCTGGAACAAATTTTGCAACCCAACAGCAATGACAGTTCCAAATTCAGGTCTCCGACTAGCCTCCATGTCTGGGCCGCATGTTTGACCCGTGGAAACAGTATGGCAGACAAAGTCGGCGACACAGCGGTAGACAAAATGGGAGACAAAGTAGTTTGAGACACAACGAGGCGCAAAGTCTGAGACACAGCCGGAGACAAAGTATGAAACAAAGTGGGAAACAAGTGGGCGACAAGGAGGCAAAGTGGGAGACATGCAAGAGACAAAGTGAGGACAAAAACGGAGACAAAGTGGGAGACAAAGTTTGAAACAAAGTGAGGGACAAACTGGCGGACAAAGCGGGAGACAAAGATTGAAACACAGTGAAGGACAAAGTGGACGACAAAGCGGGGACCAGTGGGAGGGGATACGCAGTGGGAGGGGATGCGCAGTGGGAGACAGTGGCGGCAAAGCTGGCAAACAAAGCGGAGACAAAGTGGAAGACAAGCTGAAGAGACAAATTGGGGGACACCGTGGGAGACAAATGGGGGGGCAAAGCGGGAGAATAAGCAGATATATAAAGGTGGGAGACAAAGCAGGAGACAAGCTGGGAGACATAGTCAGAGACAAAGTTTCAGGCAAAGCGGGGACAAAGTGGGAGACACAGCGCAGAGACAAAGTTTGAGACAAAGCGGGGGACATAGTGGAATAGTGGAATAGCAGAAGACACAAAAGCAGGAGACAAGCTGGGAGACAAAGTGAGAGCACAAGGGGATACAAAGACAAAGTGGGAGAGAAAGTCTGAAACAAGATCCCCGTTGGTATGCCCGGGACGGTCCTATCAGAGAATAACCATATCAATCTGATGGGCCCCAACCTTTTTAAAATTCATATCCATGGGCGGCCTCTTCTGCAAAATCCATGTCCCCCTCCCCAGAACTAGAATGGCGCGTGTATCAACCTGCTAATTTCCATTTTCCCTCCTCTGCCGGAATCATCCCAAAGCTCTTTTTCTGGAACCTGACAGCTCGCAAACTTTCAAGGTAGCTTCATAATAGCGACTACTCTCCTGTCCTATGACATACAGTAATTTCATTAACCCCCCATGTTCCCATGTCAAATTAAAAATGGCTGTCCTGACCTTTGCAACAGAGGGGGCGCTAGGAAAAAAAACATTTCTAAATTTCTAAATTTAAAAGATTAAATAATTTCGGAACCAGACTCCCAGGAAAATAATCTGGCGAGACACAAGCGGGGCACAGGTGGGACACAAGTGGGACACATTTGCAGACAATGGAGCAACAACAGGGAGATAATGGGCAATGGGGAGACGATAGGCAGACAAGGGGAGACAAGACAGAAACAATAGCGACAATACCGGGAGACAATTGAGAAACAGCTGGGAGACAAGGTTCCAAGGTTCTAGTGATTCTAGTGGAAGACACAATGGGGGATACAGCGGGATTGGGAAAGACGGTGGAAGAGACAATAGGAGACAAGGTTCCAGGATGGGAGGCACAGTAGGAGGCAAGCTGGGAGACAAGCAGACAAGGTTCCAAGGTGAGAAGCGGGAAACACACTAAGACAAACAGTGGAGGACACAATCGGAAACAAAGTTGGAAGGCCACAACACCGTGGAAGACACAGTGCGACACACGGTGGGAGACAAGCTGGGAGACAAGCAGGAAACAAGGTGGGAAAGCACCAGACAAGACAAAGCGGCAAACAAGGTTCCAAAAGACACAGCGCGCCCAGACGCCCAGTAGGAGACAATCTGGGAGACAAAGCGGCAGACAAGGTTCCAAGGATCTAGGTGGGAGACACAGCGCGACACACAGTGTTCCGGAACCTTGCGCGCAAATGCCAGAGGAAGGGGAGCGCGACACCACCCCACGCTCCCAGAGATTGAAACCCAACGCCCCCAACAGTAGGAGTCAAAGTGGGCGACAACGGGAGACAAGGCAAGAGAACACAATGAGAACGAAAGCCAGCCTCCCTTTTTGCTGCCACTGCGCATTGGTATGCGGATCCACGGATGAAGGTGAAAGATATTGTATGAAAACGATGTAGAAAAAGGTCCGCTCAGCTACTTGGCACGGACTTGGATGCTATATTTCAGATGCTAAAACCCAAATCTTTCCAGGAGCTACCTGAAGATTCTATGTGATTCTCTTGTTCTACTTTAGGCCGTCTGCTAGTTTGGGATGGCAAGGTCTACTCTGAAATGCTCATGTTAACATTAATTTATCCCTGCCATACCATGAAGGTTTAGCATGGGGTCTTAAATGGGGTCATGTGACGTATCATATTTAGGGTCTACTCTGCCACAGCTGCAAAACTTTTCAATCAAAGGAAGCAGGAAGATACCAATTTTTAGACATGTTAGGCTTCCATTTCGGGAACCAAATTTTAGAGATTTCAGGTGTCCATTTCGGGAGCCAAAGTTTCGACATTTTTAGGTTTCCATTTCGGGATACCCCTGCCCAGGGAGGTTCACTCCTTTTTTCGGGCTCCAACCTATCAACATAGAAAAGCCAATGATATCAAAATCGGATTCGGTAGCTCTCACATCCATACAACACCAAATCCATAAAAATAAAATCCTTGTCTCCCAGCGTCTGAGCTTCGGTCATATTTACCCAACATCTCCAAAATTTCATCCTGTCCCCTGGCCCCCCTCACAGAACAATCCTAGTGTCGAATCCGCGCCCAAATTCTTATCCTGTACCCTAACCCTCTTCAAATCTATTTTCGAAGGAAGTTTAGAAGTCAAACTTCTGACAATATGGACAGATGAGGCCAAATGAGAGATGAAAAATTGCACGCCGTTGTGACACACCATGCCCGGAGCACTTTTGCAAATTGAGATGCTGAAAAAGTGCACACCTTTGTGGTGCGAAGCACGTTTCCAAGTCAAAATGCACAAAACACCTCAACACCGGAGCACTTTTGGAAGTCGACATGTCGAAAAAGTGCACGCTGCTGCGCGAAGCAGATTCCGATGTCAAAATGCACAAAACACCAAAACCTTCGAAAGTTGAAATGTTAAAAAAGCGCACACCGTTGTGGCGCGAAGCACGTGTCGAAGTCAAAATGTACAAAGCACACCTCTGTATTGGACCCCTTTTGGAAGTTGAGATCTCGAAAAAGTGCACGCTGTTGTGGCGCGAAGCACATGTCAGAGTCAAAATCTACAAAACACCTCAGCTTTGGAGCACTTTTGGAAGTTGAGATGTTCAAAAAGTGCACGGTGCTGTGGCGCGAAGCACATTTGGAAGTAAACATCTTGAAAGCACCACATGATATGCTCGGACTATTTGTGGACGTTGAAACATCGTTTTGTGTGGCAGGCGCAAGGGAACCTGCACCTTCCCAAAGGTGGGCAAAACGTGGAAGTTTTGTAGCGTGTCAAAAGCGCTGACCGGCGTGGGACATTTGAAGTGGATGTGCGAAGATGCATTCGCATGGCAGGCGCAGTACAAGAGACATGTTCATCAGAGACGTTAGATGATGTTACTGTTAGGAGGTCAGGGCGCTGATTTCATGAGAGGGGCTGCATTTGGGCGCATCGGATCTTCAGGTTTGCCAAGATGATTTTGCGTGACAGGTGCAGCACATTGCAGCACTTCGTATGACCTGGCCTCACTTTTTCGTGGCAGGGGCAATACTTTAGACGGATGGAATTGGAAAATTGCAAAGCGCGTCAGCTCTGCACTCAAATTTCCATTTTCGTAGGCTCGCAGAATTGCCTCGTTTTGGATGCTGTCAATTTCGAAAATTGAAGCAATCTTGCAGAATTCCTTGGTTTTTGACGTTGTCAAGTTCAAACATTGGGGAAATCTGGCGGAATTGCCGCGTTTTTGATGCTGTCAACTTCGAAAATTGAAGAAGTCTCGCTGAAGATGGCTAGATAGACAGACAAACCGATACTGTAGAGAGATAAACAAATACACGGATAGATAGACAAATAGATCAACAGATATTTTGATAGACAGATAGGTAGACAACTGCAGCGACACTACACCACACTAGAACTAGAG